CGATCCTTAAAATATGACTCAAACCATCGCAGGACAGTACCCTTTATGCCAAAAGTAGTATTTAATCTCTCGAGTAAAATACCATTATAGATAGGCTGCACACTCTTAAGAGCAATACACATCTATGCTCATTCTGATAAAAGTCTTATGCTAAATGGTACACAACTTCTTTTATATATCTTTCTTTCTTTGTTTTTGGAGGTACATATCTGCCGCTGCGTGATCTTACAATTTGCGTAGGAAAGGGGTGTGATGGGTCGTTTATAATACTTTTTATCTTTTTTATACATGTGGTGTAACACATTTCATCAGCTCTGCACCCTGAACTGAACACATTTTTAGATCTAGCCAGACATAAATTGAGACACACCGAAATAATAATAATTATAACCAATTACAAGATTGAACTGGTAGCGGAATGTGGTGGTGGTGGTGGTGGGGGTGGGGGGTAACAAGGAGACTTGCTGTGCTCTGGCAGCTGTTATAGCATGATCAGCAGGCAGACCCTTTCATGGATCCTGGAGAGGACGGAGGATATGAGCAGCTTTGGCATTGTGCGCCTTCAATGACGCCTATTCTCAAACCAAGTAGTAAGTATAAGTAAGTGGCACGAGGTATAAGCGCTCCCAACAACGAAGAGAAAGAAATATAAACCCAAGGTAATATATAAGAATGGAAAGGATAACAATAATAGTTATGATAAGTGGCGTCGGTGGCCTAATGGTTAGGCTCTCGGACTCGCAACCGTAAGGTCGTGGGTTCGAATCCCTTCAGGGGCCCGACGTTGTGTCCTTGGGAAAGGCACTTTACACGAATTTTCCTCACTTCACACAGGTGGGAATGGGTACCCGACTATAGACAGCGAAAGATCTTGTCAGTTTGATAGTGTTTAGGCGCTTAATCGGCTGCTTGCACTGTATGTTTCCCGGGAAGCTGAGAATGTTTCGGAGTGTTCTATGGTCTGCTGGGGTAATAATATAGTGTAAAGCGCATAGAGCCTGCAGTTGAGCGGGGATATGCGCTATACAGATGCTATCTATTATTATTTTTATTATTATTAAGTGGTACTTGTGTGGAATTCATATAGCAGTGTCATCGCTGATCATTTTCCTCGTTTCTTTATTGTTTCATCTGTATTTCTTCCCACTAGGCTGGGAGAGAGAGAGAGAGAGAGAGAGAGAGAGAGAGAGAGAGAGAGAGAGAGAGAGAGAGAAAGAGAGAGAGAGAGAGAGAGAGAGAGAAAGACCTATTTCTTTCTTTTTTTGTAGGTGTTTTACGGCGCTCACAACTGCATAAGGTCAAATGAGCGCGTGGGTCACATTAAACATTTTCAGTTTGTAGGAAATTTTAATTTTTTTCCTGGTGACGGCCGAAGCCTACTCTTATCGATGTTGTGCCACAAAAGGATCTTAACTAGGCTAATGTGCGTAACTTGCACACGGTGCCTCCAAGATTTTCTGCCCTTATCCGAGAAGGCTAGGTGTAGATCTTTCCAACCATAAAAATCAGGGGGTGTGGCTGAAAGACAGCAACAAGAAGGAGCCAAGGCGTAGCAGTAGAAAGGCTGTAGAAAGAGTCAGGAGCCCAGAGGAAGGGACAGAAGGACCTCGGATTCTCCATTGATCTTGGGCTAGGGGCGAGAAGAAGCGCAGCTTCTCACTAAGAAAAAAATATGTAAGGTACATGTATAACACAATTTGACAAAGAGACACTGCAATTCCAATATGAGCTAGGAAAATAACAATCCTTGACAGCCAATATAAATTTAATTAGCAACATTATAATTCATAGGCTCAAGACCAGACATTCTCCCCAGAATCGCGCAAACAAATGCTGCGCTGTCAAAACTGAAGCCTATTTGGAGGGACAGAAACATCACGCACAACTAAAAAAATCAGACTAATGCGCTCACTGGTCACCTCAATATTTTTATACGCCTACGAGTCGTGGACACTGAGAGCAGAATTAGGGAAAAAGATTCAGAGAACAGAGATGAGATGTTACCGTAGACTCCTTAACATCTCGTACAAAGACCACGTTTCAAATACTGAGGTACGAAATAGAATCACCAACGCAGTGGGGCAGCATGAAGATCTACTGACCACAGTGAATAGACGAAAATTAAATTAATGGTAAGGGCATGTCACAAGATCCACAGGACTTTCCAAAACAATCCTGCAAGGAACCGTTCAATGAAAGAGAAAGAGAGGAAGGCAGAGAAGGAGATGGGAGGACAGGGACAGCATTAGGCCTACAGAGTGGACAGGAAAGACGATGGGTGACAATCTGAGGAAAGCAGAGGACAAAAATAGATGGCGAGAGCTGGTTTTCAGGTGCAGTGGTGGCCTCACGGTTGCCCCAACCACGGGATAGAAGAAGAAGTAATAATTCATAGAAACGGAAAATGTACCTAGCGGTATTTTATTTTAGGGCAAAAGCAATTTAGCAACACCGTAGTGTTCATCGGGTGACTTCCGGGTTGTTTAGTAACTTGGCTGAACTTGGCCTCTCACTTCTTCACTGACGTTGAATTCTTGGCTTCGCAACTCAACAAATCTGTACAGAGAAAACGAGCAACTTGTTACGGTATGTGTACCTATTAGCAAACATGGTCGGCCTTTGAAAAAAATAGTGTACAACTGAAATTTAAAAAAGATGGGACAGGCCTTCTGTTCCAGAAATAATTGAGATTTGATTTGTATTCTGTAGTTGATTGTTGATGACTTGACCCATCTTCTCGATTGGTATTAAATTAACAAACACTTTCGAGAGCTGTACACACAAGAATCTATCTAGATCTAGATTCCTAGATCTAGAACTAGACTCTAGATCTAGATTCTAGATCTAATCTACTTTCTAAAAAAAAACCCCCAACCACTCTTGATGTCAATATAATTTTGGTCATTGTTTTGTAAGTAAGGGGTAGGGGGTGGGGTGGAGGGGGCGTGGACTTTTTTAAGCCTATCTATTCATCAGCAGAGATGCAGATGCATCACTCAATCATAACCTTTCTCCATTGATACTGAACAGATAGGCTAGCCAAGACATAGAACTACATAATTACATAATTGGAAGGACTTCCGTAGCGAGCGACCACTCCAACAAACACAGAGCTAAAGAAGCTCTATTTCTCAGAACGCTCGGAAAAATAAAGCCTGGGGGAAAGGCGAAAAAAGGAAAAGGCTAGCTGTACTTAATGACGGCTAGACTGCTAGGCAAGTACGGCTAGACTGGTTGGCGTACGGCTAGACAGCTGGGCTAGCTGTACTTACTTTTAATTATGATGGCTAGACTGACCCCCCCAAAAAAAAATATAGATCTAGATCTAGGCCTACTGAATTGTAAATAAATTTTTAGTTTGCAGTACCTAAAGTATTTGTATTTGAGACGAAACCAGGTGCCTTAATGACAGTGCATGTATTTTAAACCTGAATAATTAATAATGAGACCTGTTTTCTAATGTTAGTTTAGGGCCTAAGATAAGTACGGCTAGTCTGGCAGGTTAGCTGTACTTTAGGACGGCTAGACGGCTAGGGTAGCCATACTTAAAGACAGCTACACAATCAGGCTAGCCGAACTTTTATTATTGATGGCTGAATTGTAAATGAAATTTTTAGTTTGCAATACCTAAAGTATTGTGTTTCAGACAAAATCAACAGGTGCCTTACTGACTTGCATGTATTTTAAACCTGAATAATTGCTAGATGTAGATCTAATGAGACCTGTGTACTCAACAGGTTTTAGTCGATAGGGCCAAATCTAGATCTAAGTACGGCTCTACTGGCAGTCTTGCCGGTACGGCTAGCCACTTCGACGAAAAAAAGAAAGGGGGGGGGGGGGAGGGTGTGAGACCCCCCAAAAATGGGGGGGGGGGGGGGAATCCTCAGCTTGTTTGAAAACATGTAGGGGGCGGTAGCCAGTCATTTCGTCACCCGGTCATCTCGTCACACCCCAGTTATGTGAGATGAAATGACTTCGCTTATTTATATATATAGGCCTCTCTCTTCAAAATTGGGCACTAGTCGAGTTTTGATATCCCAGCTCAGGGGGCGGCCATTTTGGCAAAATCAGTTAGTGAATCTCGAGATTGGGCGTATTTTCGGCAGTTTCCACCCCACTTATGTGAGCCTTGATCTAGATCTATTATAGGCTTTGTTTGATGCTCGGAGAGCGAGAGATATCAAACCTATCTGCAAAACATCACATTATGATAAAATTCAGGGGGGCAGGCCCCTCTATATTTTTATACATTATGTGCAAGTATTTTCAATTTAATATAATTCTATTTAAAGCTTCAAACCAATGTCATGGGGGCTCTCGTGGCCTAGAGGTTAAGGTGTTGGCCTCTCATTCAAAGTTCCCGGGTTCGAATCCAGGTAGCGACCAAAAAATTTTCTTCTCTAAAATTGTCTTCTTTCATCTCCTTTCCTGCTCTCTATCAATGTTCTGTCATCTGCTTTCGTCTCCTCTTTCT